AGATTACTCGATTACTCGTAAGAATAATCGATAGATTACTCGATTACTAAAATATTCGTTTACAACAGCCCTATACCCTCGTTTTTTGCGGGGATTGCGTTCTGAAAATAATCCCGCGATAAGTGAAGTCCGCACAGTAGTTACCTTTAGTTTTTACGATTATTACACAGCATAATTAAATACTCTACATTGAAACCAAAGAACAAAACCTGTTTTCAGGTCAACAGATGTGCGTGTTCATCAATCGCGCCTTAATGTGATCCGGAGTCATGTCATTAAAGTGTCTCCTCCAACCTGCCCCGCGAGATGCACAGCTGTATCTACGGCAGACCGATGGATCTCGTCAAGCGAGCCTCCGGTCGGGTTTTGCGCTGCCTCTGGCCACAGTTTTTTTCCAGCAGGCATTCAAAATTTTCAGCTTTCATCTCCTGAATGGCCAGTCTGTATTACTTATATTTAAATACCGTAACGTTACTGGTACACAAATAGAGAAGGAGCTCGGAGGCTGTTTAGCCAATCAGGACGCAGAACACAATGCACTGTGAAAAATACTGCACAAAAAAATCCGCGAAGCAGCGAGACCGCGAAAGGTGAACCGAGTTATAGCGAGGGATCACTGTACATCATCTGGACAAATTATCTTCTTCTTAGACAGATTCATGAAACATCCACCACATTCATACTGCTAGGATTAGATTTGAAATTGTAGTTCACTTCTTTAGGAGACTGCTGCATGTGCGAATGGCAAAGTTACATGTGACATCATGTCACTTATTCCTATAAAAAAAAATAACAGGTGAAATGAAACCCTGCTTTTAAAGCATATGTATTTCATTCCATTGGCACTGACATAGTTTGTTGCTGTGGAAGAAAAAATAGATAAAATACGATTTTACCCTTAGAATCAGAAGAAAATGCTCACAGGTGTTTAAAACTTTTAAAAACTAACAAATTCACACATTTATAAATGTTGGAGCATAAGAAGTTTATCATAAATTCATGAATACTCTATCGTCTTTTTGTCTAGAAATGTAGGCTAAACAATATTTGACTATGGTGCAGCTCTTGTCATTTCATCAGAGTAGGAATAATGTGTTTTCTCAGTGTCGATTATAAGTCATGCAAAAAGAGACAAATGTGTTTGCCAAATGGTCATCAAAACTGAATAAATGATATTAAAGAATATACTTTTGTCAGAGAAAATGTAAACTGTGGCAGTTTTCTGGTACAATGCATCAGGAAAATATTTACAGTGCTTCACTTCTTCCACATTGTGTTAGGTTACAGCCTTATTCCAGATATAATGAATTAATGTCTCAACTCTGAAGTTTACACACAAATAACACATTTTGACAATCTGCAAAATTATGCTTTTGAGTATTTTACAAACTCCTCCTTTGTACCTAATTTAAATGCGCATTACCAAGGGCGTAAGAACAAGTTTAGCATTGGTGGGGGGCACATATCGGAAACCTGAAAGATCTGTAAATAGCTTGAGCAAAACTGTCAAACAATGGTGTCATCAATGCATTACTCTAATCTGACCCCTTGTAATGCATAATCTAACGTGTTACTATTTACAATCCAATAATCAGATTAAAGTTATGTGTCCAAGTTACGTTATTTGTAATTTTATTTAGAAAACACATATTGTTGCTTTCTTCTTTTTCCTTGGGGAGATACCTTTCATGTGTAACACCAGCGACACAAAAACGTAAACGATGGAAGGAAAAGAGATGCACATTTTCTAGCTGATGGACGAATTTTACATTGAGTAATCAAATTACTCTTTCAAAGTAACTATGCCATCCTGGCAGTAATTTTTCTACCATCCCAGTTTTCCATGTCTGGCATATAACCATTCATTTTAGCTT